TAATTCTATATTGGATAAATTATATTATGCTGCAAAATAAAATTATAATTACCGTTAATATATTAAACTTTAGCTGAGCTAGACATTTAAGATTTTAAAGTCTAGTTTACAATATTCCACTTATAACTTTCCTAGAATTGACCTTTTCATTAAAAAAGATAAGACTCCATTTCCTTTTAAATAGAAGTCACGTTGGAGGTAAAGAATGCTCAGGCAATCTAATTTTTCAAAAGGTAAAAGTCTTTTATTTTATTGTGAAATGTAAAAGTTAATCCAAGAGAATAGTAAGTAATTGAGTCGGAATGTTAAAAGAAGTTTATATAAGGGAAATATTTAATTGAAAACTATTTACATAGTTAAATAAGAAAAGAATTAATAAGTAAAATTTTAGTTATTTTAAAGTCCTAAATATTAGGAATTTAATTCAAATGACAATTCTATCTAACATAAAATTTATTTTTAAAGAATAAAAAAAACGAACGATATTTCGTTAAAGACCTTAGTTTAATACTTCTCATGTTTGTGTAATACTGCCCCGTGTATTAAGAAAATGGAAGTTACAAATCACTCTATCTGTGGTCTCGGAGAAATGTGAACCTCTTTTTCAAATTTCAACTCTCATCTCAAAAATTGGACGAGTAAACTAATCATCATTATTTAATATGAGGTGAGATCATTTAATGGAACCATTTTGCTAGCATAAACAAACTAAATTGATCTTTGGTGGAATCTCAAACAACATGGATTACATTAGTTAATGGAGTGGGGGAGACAATAAAGATTTCGGTTTAAACCGAAATCGTACCGAATCAAATTAAGAAATATCGAACCGAAATATTTTAGTACGATATTTGGTGTACATAATTGATAAATCGAATACTGAAATACTCAACCGAAATTCTAAAATACCGAACCGAAATACTGAATGATCATTCTACTTCAAAAAAAAAAACCAAATGCCCTATAAATTAATACTCTAATTACGCATTATTAATTCATAAAGCGACCCCATAAGCTCTTCCTTGGACGATGAGATTCTTGAAGCTGACAAAGACAGCAAAACAATAAAATTAATTACATAGATCACAGTACTAATCCCAAATTATATACGGTTGGTCCTAGCATCTCACAACTTGTAACTCACATGACATAAAATAATATTGTTAATATATAGTTAACTTTATATGATTGTCGTTTAGAGTAAAGTTAACTTTTGATATCTATTCAACCAAAGATTTATAGATTTATAGGCTTTGACTGTGAAATATCATTATACATGTGTAGAAATGGGGGAAAAAAAGTATTGGCATTCTTTGATTAGAAAAATGGTATACCTAAACTTCCCTTTTTGGTAATTTTGTATTGTTTAATCTAGTTCCAATTGCAGATAAAAGTAGAAGTTATCTTTTGTCACGTTTACTTTCAGAAATAAGAATTCGCGGGTTTTTCCTTTTCTTCATACGATTTAGTATTTACCATCCACGTTTTCTATTGTTTCGTTTGCCGTAGTACATTTCTGCAAAAACTTATTCTTTCTCTATCGGGAAAATGGCTAGCTTTGCTCCTAAATTATTCGAAATGATATAATTTTGTCCTTTGCTTCATCTTTTACACAAAAGATGCCCTTTTAGCCAAGTAATTCAAAATATTCTTCCTCACTAACGATTGTTCCATCTCAAATTAATTTTACCCCTGAACTATTCGAAATTGGATAATCTTGTTTCTATTTCCTGAGTTGCTCAGTAATCAAATCAGCTAAAACTAATCCTGAGTTCTCTGCGGGATAGATCCTGGACTCAAAAATTAGATTATATTTGCGGCTACGGATATTTTTAGACTAGACTTGTGCATGATCATTTCTACTCTTTATAATAGTTGTTCCTTAGATGAGAACAGTAGATACTATTTTCATTCCATATTATCTATCTTTTGCAGTTTTTTGCTTTGTAGTATATTTAATTCATAGCCTTAATCGTAATAAGATTTATCTAAATTATTATTTATTTCTCCTCAAATGTCTCAGATTAATCGGAACAAAAAGTAGATCCGAGAAAAATAATCTTCTTCTTCTTAATATTAATGGTAAGAGTTTTTTCCAAAAAGCAAAAATCCAACGATTAGCCTTGCATGAACTAGGAAAAGATGGAACTCAACTTCACACTGGTTAGCAAAACCCGTTTTTGAAACATATTCAATTTATCAAAACAATTGATATTTGAAAACTATTAAGTATAAAAAAAAACTTTAACAAAGTGGGTCATAAAGTCACAACCCACAACCAATATTCTATTCCGAGATTAATTTTTATACACTAAACTAATTGTGTAAAAGAATTTTATGATGTCACCTAATACAATAACTATCATAATAAGTGAAATTAATTATTTGAGAAAATGACAGATAACTTGTCAAAACCGATTAATTTTGTTTTTGCACTGGATGTATATATATTAAATATCTATGCTTTTACTTAGAGGCTATTGTAATCTTTTTCAACACATGACATTGTAATCAACAACATCATTTTAACGTCACCCAACCACAAAATAAAGAAAGAAAGTTACACGTAATCAAGAGTTAAAGATAAATTTTGCGTGTCTACGGTCCACACACAACCACTTCAACTTATCTTAGCTTATGTCCCTAATAATTGTTACTTGCTCCGTAATTTTTACTTGTCCATTATTCTAAAAATTTTATTTTTACTTGTCACTTTTAACATATCAAGAGAAAATATATTTTTTTTCCTGTTATGCCCATAGTATTAATTACTCATTTTAAATTATTTTTCAAATCTATTAAAAATATGCATCAATTAATATGAATATCATGGTAAATTATGCACTTCATTTATTATTTTTTGATGAGTGTGCAAAATGCATAGTGGATAAGTAAAAATTAACGGACGAAGTATTTGTTAATTCGCCAAATGATTGACTAATTTAATATTGTATGCTAAGATAAGAGTTTAAATTAGAATAAAAGAGTTTTCAAAAGATAAAAGTGCCACTTGTCACTTATTCTTAAGTTTGAAGCTCTATTACGTTTACATGCTCCTTCCACTTATGTTGTTGAATAACTTAGACGACATAATTTCGTGAAATATATAATAACATTATCATATTTGTCTATTTGTGCGACTCTATGTTGCAAGATATCACCAAAGTCATTCTTATATACTGAGAAATTACAAAGTCATTCTTATATACTGAGAAATTACAACAACAATAACAAACTCAGTTTAATTTTATAAGTGACGTCTCGAAAAGGTAAAGTGTACGCAGACCTTATCCCAACCTTAAAAGGACGATAAGTGCTCAACCTGACAAAGTTAGACTATGTCTTAAACATAAGGGATAATTTTGGCTAAATCTATGTATTACTAATGCAAGTATTAGATATACAACATATTTGGTATTATCCTATGTATAACTAATACACAACAAACCATGGTATTAGTAATACCAAGGCTATTAATGCATACATTAGTAAGGTTAAAGACAAAATTGTCCTTAAAGTCCGTTAAAGCTTAATATGGAGGGTATTTTTGTAAGCAACTAATTTTCCTAAAATAATGCATTTTAATTTTTAATACACCACACCAAACAGTTTATAAGAAACAATTCCTTGCATAACTAATACTTGTATTATTAATCTGTGCATTACTAATACACCTTATTCAACACTATTCTTATACACCCTAACAAACGACCCCTATAAATCCTATTCTCGAAGAGCTTAACTTATACTATGCATTATACTATTAGTATTTATTCATTATAACATATTTACTTGATATATTATAAAGTTATGAAATTAATTTAGCATACTTAAACAGTTCGTTGTTTTAAGTTATGAAATTACGAAGAGAAAAGTAATTGACTGTACAAAAGTTATGAAATTGGAAAATGAGAATAAACAATATAAGACGAGGAGGAAAAAATATAGGGAAAAGGGCCAAATATATCCCTCTACTTTCGGATATTATCTACATTTAACCTTTGTATACTATTCGGCCAAACTTATCCTTACCGTTATATCCGGCCAAATTTACCCCTACCATTAGTAAAATTTTAAAAATTACCCATTAATTTGTTAAGTAATCCAAAATCTCCCAGTTTCCTTTTATTTAAATCACTTGTTGTCTTGTTCTTCTTGCTCCACTTTTCAGAAATTACTATTGATGTGAATGCTAAAGGTACTGAACTATACAAATTATTTATGGGTATTTTAAATTACCAATGCGCCCACTTCTATTCTTGTAATAATGAGTTTGGAATTGGTTTAAAATTTTATTTATTTTTCAATCATATATACACCGTCGAATTCAATGGGTCTATTAATTGTGTATTATATGCCGCTGATCATCATGTATGTACATGTATATTCGAATATATTTTGTTATTGTCTGGTTAGTATAGAGTTCGATCGACTAACTCAAGAAGAGTGCACAATGCGTAGACATTTGATTAAAGCAAAGTTAAATCCGACAATGTAAAGTCTCTAAGAAATTTCAACTTCTATCACTCATACTTGCAAAGTCTTCCTCCCTTTGGAGCAACGAATTCATTAAAGTTGGGATGTTGTAAATATTTTTAAAATTTATACAAGTTATCTAATTTAGATTCTTCAATTTCCTATACTTTATTTACTAACCGTTATATTATTTTGATATTTCTTTCTCTTATTTTTTGTTCCAATTAAGAAAGCAAGTAAATGTCAATTATTTCGAAAATAATAAATGAATAAGAATAAGTGACTTAATTAAAATAATTTGGGAGATTTTAGGACACCTAACAGACTAAAAGGTAATTTTTAAAAGTTTGTTGATAATAAGAATAAATTTGGCCGAATAGTATAACGATTGAAATAAATTTAGGCGGATAGTATAATAGAGGTTAAATATAAACAATATTCGAAAGTAAAAGAAGCATTTTGGCCCTTTTTCCAAAATTATAAATAGACATCGTGTTCAATCCTTTCAAGACAATCTTCCGCATACCACATAAAAACACACACCTTTTTCTCTCTCCTCTCTGTCTTCTCTCTCTCATTGGTAATCTGGACCAGCTGGTACGAGGAAGCAATTAAGGGAGAAATGTGATAAAAATCAATGGATTCAACCCGCGATTCTCTGGTAATTCAACAAACTCAATCTTCCCTTTTTGTTTTATATATAAATTTCTGGGTATTTATTGATCTGTTATGATTTCTTCAGAGTTCGAGTTCATTAACAATCTCAGAGAAAATATGTGCTGCATTTTTCCCAATAATAGCACTCATTGAAGCTCTAATCTACGCTGCTTCTGGTTGCTTGGAATGTCAGCATTTGTACCGTCCCAACAAGAAGAAGTTGGGTTATGATTATACGGACCTTGCTCGTCTTGCCACCGAATCTCGATGTATTTCATATTCCCCTTTTCCTTTTTCTTTTCTTCTTTTTGCTGAAAATTTGATTTTTTGTTATCATTGTGAAATTTGATTTTGCAGTTAATGTAAATGAAGTGGAAGCACTATACGAGTTGTTTAAAAAGTTGAGTTGTTCTATCATTGATGATGGTTTGATACATAAGGTGAGTGTGTTTCCTTTTTTCCTTTGCTTTTGTTGTTATTACTCCTTTATTACTTGATTTGAGACCTCCTTTATCTCAATTGATAGTTTGGGATAACAATGTTCTTTATTCCTTCTTTAAATATCAGTTCTGCTAAGTTTTTAGGTCTTTGAGTGGCCTTTCCCCTTTCCTTTTTTACTTTTTTTTTCTAACTGAAGTATATGCAGAAGTTTGAAAATATCGTTATGTTGTTTTAATCTTTTGCTTTCTTTTCAGGAAGAGCTTCAGCTAGCATTATTTCAAACTCCATATGGTGAGAATCTCTTTTTGGACCGGGTAAATGCTCTAAAACTTCTGTTCCTACTTCATCTCATGTTCTCTCTTGGAAAATCTCTCTCCTTTACCATAATAATAATGATAATGCAAGCACATTATATGTGGCTAATGTTAGAATTGAATTTCCTAAAAATACCACTTTAGGTGCACTTTGATGCTTCAGCTGAAAAAGACAGGTTACTGTTGTTGTTACAAACTGGCTATCTGCGGTCATGGATCAGTAAATCTGGATGCATCGGATTGATTATACTTTTCCTGACCACAAGCTGATGCCAAATAAACTGATAACTTGATGTTTGTAGTGTATTTTATTCACTCTGTAAATTTCAGTCGAACTCATTTGCATTCCTCATTATGTTGAACAGGTATCATTGTATGATTCTGCAGACAAACCCTAAACCTAGTGCTACATAAGACAATCATTCCGACCTTTTAGCAACCTTATTTGTTCCATCTGAATTTTGTCTTTACTCTAAATAAGTCAAGCAACTGTGTGTTAATTTTTGTGGTTCTTTAAGTGTAGTATCTTGTTCAAACTATATTGAGGACCCGCTCCTTTCTAGCGGTTGACATACAAATTGGAGAGAGCTTAAAAGTGAAGAAAGGGTTATAAGAAATCTGCCTTGCATCAACTTTGGCTGACCTTATTTCTTTATCAAGAAATGGTCTCTAGTTTCATGTTAATGAGCTTTCCAGTTCCTTTTCTGCAGGTTTTTGATCTTTTTGATGAAAAGCAGAATGGAGTCATTGGGTTTGAGGAATTTATCCATGCACTTAATATCTTCCATCCCTATGCTCCAATAGAAGACAAAATAGACTGTAAGGGGTGCAAGGCGTTCTCTTAGTTAATAGTAACTCAAGTCATCTGATGCTTGTAACTCATTGTAATCACTTTTTTTTTGGTTCTCTTGCAGTTGCCTTTAGGTTGTATGATTTACGACAAACTGGGTTCATTGAGCGAGAAGAAGTGAGTAAACAAGTTTGAAATTCTTTTTTAATTTACTCCAAAAATGTGATAGTACCAGATGCTTTTAAAATAACTACCTTCGAATTAAGTCTCGCAATAACTGATAACCTGCACTCTTTAGTGTTTAAGTTCTATTCAGAAATGCTGGGAATGTTTGGAATATAGATTTTTCTTCCATAATTGCACGCTATAAACTATATATGACTTCAACTAGTTGCCACCGATGTGAACCTTTAACTTATTAAAAGAAGAAATAAGTTGCCACCAATGTGAACCTAGAAAGTTGATTGGTTCTGAAACTGAAGCTAGAATATAGATCTGATGATGTCTCAAAAATTATTCTGGATGAAAAATGATTGATTTGTAAAGTCAGATGGGAATGTGATTGCAAGTGATTATTCATAACCTCAGACTAGATTATACATCTGAAAATATCAAACTATGGTTTTTTTCCCTTTAAGTGGGACAGAAGAGGGAGACCACACAAGGGTTCATATAGGATATTTACCATAAGTCAATTACTTCAACTTATTAAAAGCTGTTATAGCTGATATATGAGAAGTACAAGTGTCGAAGTTGATAATATTTTGCCAGCAGTTAAGATGCTATGAGGACCAATTCTTGATAGCATTATATATTTAGAAAGTGCGTTGAACTTGCAAGCTTTCCTACACCTGCACCATCTGATGTGATCAATTCCATACCTGATAAATACTGATCCTAGACTTGATCAGAAGTCATCATTTATCCTTCTATTAAGCAAGAATGCCATCCTTTTTTCTTCAGTTGTTGAGTCAGTGCATTTGAAATAAAGACACTCAGTTTCATGCAGTACTAGTTAATATAAAGTACATATATGAATCATTGTTGTAGCTACTGAAAGTTTGTGCACATGTTGATGCAATAAAGGTTGCAATCCATAGATAGCGTTTGAGTTTACGGTAACTGAAATTGGGAATGTTTAGTCTAGGTTGTGAGTCCTTGGGTGGGGGAGAGAGAAGAGGCTGCTTCCAGAAAAGCGTGACCAATCTTTCGTTGAACTCCCTATGTATGCAACAACAACAACAACAACCCAGTATAATCCCACAAGTGGGGTTTGGAGAACTCCCTATGTATGCTTTCAATTATTTTAACTTTCAGCAGAATCTCCTTGCAGGTTCTGTATATTAAAGTTCACATCTAATTTAATTCTATAGTTCTATGTACTTTTATCAAAAGAATTGATCGGAAAGTTTCCTCATTTAGGTTAAGCAAATGGTAATTGCTATTTTGATGGAATCTGAAATGAAACTATCTGATGAACTGGTAGAGGAAATTATTGATAAGGTATGCTTTCGTCAAGGTGAATCTTTTCTCTGAACCTATGTCTGCAAAATCATAATATTTATGTCTCCATGTTTCTGACAGACATTTGCTGATGCTGATTCCGATGGGGATGGTAAGATTGATAAGAAGGACTGGCAAGACTTCGCTATTAGACACCCCTCATTGCTGAAGAACATGACCCTTCCCTATTTGAAGTATGTTTACTGTTCTTCTCTATCGTGGCGTCTGTGCTTTTATTATTGTTGATTCAATCTCCATGCAAACCACCGGATATTAGGTCTGAATTTGAGATCTTTACTAGTCTTGCTGTCTTTCTTTCTTCTCTCTTCGGTTTCTCTTTCACCATACTTGTTGTGCTAAGTAGGAAGGGAGGGGGGAAATAAAATGAAGGAGAAACTAAACCCCCAATGACCACTCAAAAAGAAAAAAAAAACATTCTCATTTGGTTCGGAAGAGAATAATTGAAGGTCAATAGGGAAAAAAGATTCTGGCGTTTCTATCCCCAAATAAAAGAAGGAAGCTTGTGGTACCTACTCATTATCTCCTGAGCAGTCAAAAATTTCTGGACACAAGATATGAACATCCTTTATCTTTTGTATTCCTTTTCCTTTGTCTTTTGCCTTTGAACTCTATTCTGTTTGGTGGGTCATCTGATCGGTCAAATTCTCTCCTCTCACAGGAGGCCTTATTTTGTGGCCAAAATAAAATTGGCGTTGTTTTGCTTCATCTCTTTGGTAATAAATCAGAGAAGTAAAAATTTTTCCGTGTTCTCTTCCTACACGTTAATGCGCTTTCGTGAAAACCCTTGCATTTCCCAGTCAGAAGGAAACCTTCGCAAATATTGATTTCTTGTGCTTCATTTTACAGGGACATCACTACTGCATTCCCAAGTTTTGTTTTTCATACACAGGTTGAGGACTCGGAGAAAAGCCATTTGTTGTGACAAGTGGTGTACTAGATCATAGCGTTGCGATGTGATTGGAGCTGGGAATTCCTTTAATCTGGGTAAATACTTCAGTCATTGCAAGAAATGTCCTCCATTATAGCAGGGGACATGCTGATCATCAAGTCTAAAGCAGCAGCCAGCGGCTTTTCTTCTGGTGAAATGGCCTAAGCTGCCATCGGCATCTCATTTATTTTCACAATCAATCTGTAAAATTTCTTGTATATGATGGTGTTTAAGAGTATTGATTAGTGAATCTTCAAATGTATTCCCCCCCAAACCTATGCAATCTAGTTAGAATATGCTGTGTACTTACCCCCACCCCACCCCACCACCAAAAGAAGAGAAAAAAAAACAATTTCCATGTATATATATTTTTGCCATTATTGTTTCTTTTGGTTATGAAATGCTGGTCTGTTCTTATTCTACACCACTGCTGTGTAGGAGATCTTGCTATTTTTCAATCAATTAGAAAGTATGTTCTTTAGTGTCAAGTGGCTGTTTCTTTATAGTCTTCACATGCTTACAGTTCAGAATCCTTCCTTTTCATGAATTGCCAGTTAGATGGCTTCTACGTGTGGTACAGTAATCTGACTGTCTGAGTCAGAACGTTCTATTCTTTTTAGAGTATTTATCTTTGACATGATCATTTGGTTGAGTTTTTTTAATGCCATTAGCTAAATGTACAATGAATGTAAATAAACTTTTAAAGAGTCACTGGTTCACAGACAAGATAAGATGGGAACATATAGCACAACATATTATAATAAGCATTAAGGGATTTTGTAATTCAGATCGAGTTAAAGATGTCAATCAGTATATGCCACCGAAAGCGTTTTCTGTAAATGTAATAAAACAAAATTAACAGGTACACTTGATTTTTAATATGTAAGAAAGACTTTTAAACAAAAATAAATTGTAAAATTCAGAACAATTAAAATATTAAGAGAGAATAGTAAAATAATTATATGAGAAAAATGTTATGAACTCTTTCATGACCCATATTGGTGAAATTTCAGTTTTCAACTTTTGTGTCTGAACTAATTATGGATCAACTAATGGCTACACTTATTAAAATTCTCTTTGCTTTTGCTAAAAGAAAAACAAAATCATGTTGTTAAAATATTCTGACTTCACTGGAGTTTTTTTGGCTCAGAAATAGATATTTAGAGACACATCCTTGCCTTCCCAGGAAGAAAGGTATGGGGTCTCCCTTACTTAAGCTCCGTTGTTTAATTCTTCTGGGAATTTTCGTCATTCATTTGATAATATTGACTTTGTACTTACTCTATCTAGTCAAATACATGGAACACCTTTGAAAACTTGTTGAACAGTATTATTCTATAATGGTGGTGTCCGGCCAACTTGCAGTTGCTGAAGCCCTCGGCAGGCAAAAGAGAACCAGACGAACTGAAGATCTTAATAGCCAGAGGAAAAGAAAGCAAAAGCGATTCCCGTTGCGGGCAAAATGGGAGTTGTCTAAATCGTGAAACGGGATTGTGGGAGAGCAATACAAGCGTCGTGCAACTAGGCGAAGCGGTCTGAATGCTGCACCCTAGATAGCGAAAGTCCAATAACCGCACCTCTATTAATCTACTAGATATCTGCTATCTCCCATGAGCATAGGTATTGAACAACTCTACCTACGAAGACTTGAGCAGATGAAAAGAAATCACCTAATATTTTTGTCTCTGCTAGAATTTGTACTGTCGTCTCTTATGATTTTCACTCACTTCATTGACTGCTAGACTAAAGTGTTGCTTGAATATAGTGTTATTCACAAGAATATTCTATGGTTCATATAAATGGATGGTTATGGCACTAATATTATGTGTCTTGTCTTTTTTTAAAAGATTTTAGACAGCAGGGTTCAAACCTTGTGATGTCAACAGATAGATTTCAATATGGTGGCCTTTAGGCAATGGAAGGCTACAAAATGTGGAGCATGATGAAGTTCATGAAAGGCACTGGTAAAAGCTCAGTATTAAGGGTAATTCGATAAGAAAGGAAAACAATTATCCAGAATATTAACTTATCATTTTGGAGGTTTCTTGTTTTATAAGGGCTCTGTCACGTCCCAAACTACCCCTAGACGTGACTGGCACTCAACGAACACCGCCCGCCTTTACTCTTGACCTTTTATATAATCATTGAGAGAAATACGAACAAGTTCAAACGTATTTAAAATTATTAAATACGAAATTATTATCCAACTAAAACCATAATCTATAAGCTAAATACCTACACGGTCCCTTAAACTTGGTCTCAATTTCTATTTAGACACTTTAACTAAGAGCAGTACCTATTAAACACTCCAACTCAAGCAAAAGTATATCTTCTTTTTCTTTTTTTATTTGTTTTAAAATATTTCTTTTTCTCCACATATACAACAACCACCAACATTCACCGTGTAACCACCAGACTACCACCACTCTTCATCCATTACCGCCACCATTCACCATCATTCCCCAAAGATCGATCAGCCGCAAATATGTGACATCCTATTAAAAAAAATACACCATCTTCTTCCTCACCACATTCTACCACCACTCACCATTGTTCAAAGATAAAAGATTTTAAAGTTCGAATGCTAGAATTTGAGAATCTGAGACTCTTCAAAATTAACCTGCTTTATACCAGAAATCAGAGGCAAAACCACCACAATATTAAAGAAAATAGAGAGAAACCCAGCAACAAAAACCCACAATTTCACTTACTCAGAAATCAAAATGGATTCTTTATATCAAAATCAAGCAATTTCAAAAGTGAAGAGACATAATTTCGTGAATCACAACATACCCCACGAAATTGAAAAAAAAAAACTTGGAAGCTCGAAAATAATACTGGCCGGCGAAGTCAAGCCAATCATTATTCCTCCAATAAGATCGATCAACTGGAATTGAAAAAAAAAAATAGATTTATCTTCCAATATTTTCTCGTTTTCTCCTTAAAGAAAAAACAATCAAATGTTATCGACTTGCGGTAGTCTCACAACGATGGATATAGCAGGTTGTGGATTTTCTTGTTATTTTTGTTGGCCATAAAATTGGGTAGACATTTAAGATGGAATGCAGAAGAAATGGAGGACTTTAGAAATTGGGGGAATAATAAGTAAAGTAGAATCTTAACATATGGTACTTTTATTGGGTGATGAAAGGTGGAGAGAGATAAGGAAAGTAGATGGGGTGAGGGGATGTTGCTTGGGAGGAAAAATAATCTTTGTCTGTTTTTAGTTTTTAGTGTTTTCTTTTGCTGACATGTCATTTTCTTATTGGTCTTATTAGCATGGTCAATAGCAAGTAGCATCCACGCACTTATGTATGTTTAGAGTTGTCAAATATGTGTTTAATATGCACATATGGGATGAAATTAAAGTGTTTACTGGCCTAGTTAAAATGCCTAAATGGAAATTGAAGTCAAGTTTAAGGGTCCGTCTACGTATTTGGCCTAATCTATTTATAAAATCTAGTGAACACTCAAATAATAAATCTCTAACTCAAATTCCATACTAAGACCGTTGAGCATCTAATAGAGTGATAGAAGTTTAAGTGACAGGCATGCAAACTCGAAAGAAATAATAGATATAAGATAGGTAGAGCTGAAACAACAGCCTCCACGAATAATGCGGCGGCTCACCTCACCAATAGAATCCACTCAACGAACGCCTTACTCACTAGCCTCGTCCTCAGCAACAATATCTGTATGGACATGTAGGTAATGAGTGAGTTATACATAAATATAACCGAGTAAGATCCTCGACCCTCCACTCTGAATACCTCTGGAACAAGTGTTAGAAAATACAAACACACAACGAGCACAGAAATAATATGCACAGAAATCCTTCACCATATAATTACTCTATAAGGTCCAAACAATTATTCAACAACAATACTATATATATCTCAACACAATCTACACTAAGGACTTGTCATTAACGGCAGTGCAGGAAATTAACCAAACACCCTAACGAGTCCACGACAGAATACACAATGCCCCAAATCTACCACGGCGGCATACACAGTGCCCCAAACATATTACGGTGGCATACACAATGCCCCAAAAATATCACGGCGATGAAGAAATAATTTCTAACGCCCAATGCCATAGCGCGAGGCTACGCCACATCACACCATACCACAAAGTACTTATTAAATAATTTCAGCTTTTTACAAAATAATATATATTTGCGGCTGGTCAAAGACCACCGATTCTGCCAAGCGCATGCTCGTCCCAACACATGGATCAGACAGACAAAATATACTTTCAAAATGAATTTTGGAAAAGCAAGTATCAAAGCTTAAAGTCTCACTTACCTCGTCAACGACAAGTTTCCCAACCTTGCGACTTCTAGAACACCAACCAAACAACTTTCAATGGCCTCAATCTATCCAAAATATTAATTAACAATGTCAATTATACTAGACGGACCAATTTCTTATATTAGAGTACAATTTGTTACTCGGCATGTGACCTATTAACTAGTCGACTAATCTTTTAGTTACACAGATATTCAAAAACACATTAAAGCTCATTCGGACTTTTATTCCTAAGTAGAATATGATAGTATCGGTTTCATAAACACATGTGAATCTGTCCATGAAGAATGAAGTGTAAGTCTATATTTCATGAATATATAAATACAATTAATCCAACGTTGGATGAAATTTTCTGGAACAGATTCCTATGCCAAGTATTCCGATTCCATAATACCAATCCTAAAGAGCTTTGTTCTTATTAAATAGTAAGGTTCCATTATAAGATTCTATGTATTTTCCCAAAGTTTTCTAGGTACGTATCTGCCATGGCCACTATGTATTCAAAATAATTCTTGTCATCATTACAAATAACTTTAACTACCCTTAGTTTAATTCTAGGAATATGAAGTTAATGTTATACCTGGATAGCAATTTGAGTTGCAAAAGCAGTCGACTCTCCTAGTTCTCGGTTTCGACAATGCTACTGCACCAAGAGACAAATTGTAACCTTTTCTTCCAAATTATGTGTGCGGCCGATTAGTGTATCTATAGATATTTAAAAACTGACTAAATTAATTGAATCGATCTATATGTTTCTTTTAATAAAATCGTAGATTTTTATATATATTTATAACCGTACCGATAATTAGAATAGATTTTTTATTTTATGAAAATAAACCGAAAAAAATATCGAACTGTACCGAATAAATTTACATGTGAAAAATATATTTATATATTGAGTTTAAAAATAATAAAGCATTAAATATTCCTTGGGTCTTGGAATTATGAAAACAGTTACAAGCTAACAAGTAATTAAACTCAAAATACTAATTCTCAAACCTATTATGCTACTCCTATTGAAACTAATTATTTTCAGCATATTAGCGATTATGAGTAGCAAACTACAATGTAATATGTTTCTTTTCGTATGATTTAAATTTATCTTTTTGAATAT